CCCATGCCCGCAGAATTACAGCTAATGTTGGCAGAAACACTGAGAGCAATTATAGATAATTTGTATGATCTTATATATGTGTATACACATTATATTACATATTTACACATACACATGCAAATATATGAATAATTATGTTCCCTTCTTATTTCCTTACACTTCTGTAGAAACAGTCTTGGAGCAGAATTACAGCTAATGTTGGCAGAAACACTGAGAGCAATTATAGATAATTTGTATGATCTTATATATGTGTATACACATTATATTACATATTTACACATACACATGCAAATATATGAATAATTATGTTCCCTTCTTATTTCCTTACACTTCTGTAGAAACAGTCTTGGAGAACTTCAATTCAAATGAACAGTTACCTACTGCAAGTTCATTCATTATTTTAAGTTTCAGCAAAATCATTCTGCTGTTTCTGGGAAAGCAGCAAGGGTAAAGTATGTCATAAGGAACATACAGCTCTACACACACCCAGCTGTTGGAGGAAGTAAGTCTGGAGAAGCTGAAACAGAGACTAACATTCACTGATTCCCTGGAGATGCATCTGCTGACCTACCCCAGCCTCATTCTGCAGCAACATTGAGGATCCATCCTACCAAGAAGCTACTGCTCCTATCCCCCATTGAACTACCTTATTCTGTCATCCAAAATACAAAAAGCTCTTGCTGAATGAATATTTTGGCATGGTAATGTCAAGAAGGCTGACCACCTCCACTATAAAAAACTGTACTGGAAAGTGGAGCCAAATACACTTCTCCCCAACCCCCAAGAAAACTCAAGCCCTTTTGTCTGATCTTCATAAGCTTATGCATACTGGCAATAACATGGGTGGAAATTCCTGCTCACGCTGTCTGCAGACTTCAAATGAACAGTCTTCAATTCAAATGAACAGTTACCTACTGCAAGTTCATTCATTATTTTAAGTTTCAGCAAAATCATTCTGCTGTTTCTGGGAAAGCAGCAAGGGTAAAGTATGTCATAAGGAACATACAGCTCTACACACACCCAGCTGTTGGAGGAAGTAAGTCTGGAGAAGCTGAAACAGAGACTAACATTCACTGATTCCCTGGAGATGCATCTGCTGACCTACCCCAGCCTCATTCTGCAGCAACATTGAGGATCCATCCTACCAAGAAGCTACTGCTCCTATCCCCCATTGAACTACCTTATTCTGTCATCCAAAATACAAAAAGCTCTTGCTGAATGAATATTTTGGCATGGTAATGTCAAGAAGGCTGACCACCTCCACTATAAAAAACTGTACTGGAAAGTGGAGCCAAATACACTTCTCCCCAACCCCCAAGAAAACTCAAGCCCTTTTGTCTGATCTTCATAAGCTTATGCATACTGGCAATAACATGGGTGGAAATTCCTGCTCACGCTGTCTGCAGACAGTTTTACGAATGAAGCTGTAGAGTAATAAGCTGCTTCCCTTAATGTTCATGCTATTGCAAGGGGAGAGTTAGTAAACCTGATTGACAGAGCCCTAGCAAGATTACAGGTCAGTAAACACTAGATCACTGCCTGTGGTATAAGACTGAAGGGAGGAAGCATTTGCATCTTCATCTGCACTCAGCTGCTGACTTGAATTTTAATTATTACAAGCACTTAAAAGACTTGCTTTCTCTGATGGTTTGACTAGAAACAAAGCACTTGTATAGTCTAGGGAATAGGTCTGGTTAAGTACAAAGGCTGCACAGCAACAGCTTAAATTTCCTCACAGAAGAAACAGAGCAATTCCTTAGCCCATAAATCACAAAATGGATAAGGTTGAAAGCGACCACAGTGGATCATCTGGTCCAACCTCCCTGCTTAAGCACAGAACTGCATCGAGACAGTTCTTGAATATCTCCACTGAGGGAGACTCTACAACCTCTCTGGGCAACCTATTCCAGTGTGCAGTCACCCTCACAGTAAAGGTGGAACTTTCTGTGCATCATTTTCTGTCCATTGCCTCTTATCCTGTTGCTTGGCACCACTGAGAAGAGTCTGGCTCAATCCTCTTGGCACCCTCACTTCAGACACTTATAGACATTGATTAAGGTACTCTCTCAGTCATCTCTTCTTGAGGCTGAATGGGCCCAGCTCCCTCAGCCTTTCCTCATACTCAAGTCCCTTAATCATCTTTATTGCCCTCCACTGGACCTGCTCCAGAAGCTCCTTGTCTCTCTTGTACTGAAGAGCCTAGAACTGGATGCAGCACTCCAGATGTGGCCTCACAAGGGCTGAGTAGAGGGGCAGGATCACCTCCCTCACCCTGCTGGCAATGCTCTTTCTAATGCATCCCAGGATACCATTGATAACATGATACCATGATAACAAACAAATATATAGAAGTTCTTATATTCTCTACTTGAATGCACTGATTCCAATGCAAATCACAGCTTTAAAAAACATCAATAAAGAGGAATGTTCCAACAAATCACAATAAAATATCAGCTTACCATCAACAAGGGAAGGGATAGATCTCTCGTTGTCTGAATTTGAGAAAAGGATCAACTCCTTGTTAATGAAATCATTGTAAGTCAAATGTTTTGTTGCTGTACCATATAAAAATTGCTGCAAAAAACCACATACATTATTCATTCAATACAAAAACTACATTACATTTAAATCTCCCCCCAGCAGATTTATTACTATTATTTAGGACTCACCTCGGGAAGGCCATGTAGCCGACGCTGGCGCCTGTCTTCCATGAAATTTGTTAACCATTCTTTTCGGTCATCAATCTTCTTCTTACTGAAGGCCTGAAAAGATTCCAAGTACACTAAATTATCACCATATAAATGTTTGTGTAAATGTATGTCAGAATTTTAAGTATATTGCACCATCTGATCAAGTATTCAATAAGGCTTATTTGGACAAGCTAATCCACATAACTAACATTTACATTTAAAGCAGGAGAACCAGTACATGACCTTTTTGAACTGACAGATCTCTCCCTGATTGCAATCTGCACACATTTAGACAAATCTTATCATTCTTCTTCCTCTCTTCACATCAGAGTTGTCTGATACACAGGTCTGCAGGTCTTTACCCACACAGCTTTAAGGCAGGGTTCATAATTTAGGTGAACTATAACCAGCTGTCATCAAGGAAATCAGCTGAAGGTATTAGAAAAAAATACCACACTCTTTTTGTCCTCTCCATGCCCTGTTTGCTCTGTCAGCCACAGAATACCAGTAACTTGTAGCTGTGTCTGGGTGGTCATTCCTAGTCCTCTTAAGAAAATTGACAACTTGTCAAAATTGACACTGCACGAAAAGACTAAGCCAGATTTGAGGGCAGCTTCCTGAGGGCCACCAGCTTCATGATAACAGGCCACCACTTTTAAGCAACCACTTGTCAGTACAAAAGGACACAAGAATGTTCTGAGACTATTGTGCTCCAGAAACAGGGTTCCCCTCCAGTGAGTTTATTCTCTGAAAGTGCACAAGAACGCATAAAAACTGAATATGCTGTTTAAGCAAGATTTCAACTGCCTTGGGAAAATTTTGTGAGTTGCTGAAGTATTGCCTTTTTTTCTCAGGGATAAATACATAAAGACTCCATCATGTCCTGATTTCAACCACTCTCCTCCTACCTAAGAAGACAGTCATCATCACTATCTTTATCAAAGGACTCTAACTGGAGGACTCCACTCCTACTGTGAGTAGTTTCATTTCCTTGGAGACCCTGATATGACACTGTAAATAGTAAACCTTAATAATTTACTCTCTGAAAAAGGAACTCAGTGATATTACCCTGTTTCACATCAGATTGACTTCCTTTGTGAACAAAGCTTGATAATTCACAATGTCAGAGACTTGAAGGCTTAAGATTAGGCTTTTGTGAAAAATGTGACTAAGTTCTTAGGAGTTTTGTTCATTCTCCTTTCAGTTTATATATACCTTTTTTAGACCACTGAAGTGACAAATGACCAAGTGCTGGATCAGCACAAAATTTATTTTAATAGAGAAAAACCAGAATTAATAGCATTAAGAGTCTGAATATTTATTCTTGAATAGATGCCCAGAGGTAAATTTGGGGCTGAGATTACAGGTATCAGCAGAGGAAATGCAGAGAGGAGTCTAAGTGATGCTTCTGCTAACAGCTCCAGTACTAGTTAGTAGTTGTGGACATTGAGGTGTAGCAGAGATGACTAGCTTCACTTTGAATTGACAGAATGCCAGTTTAGACAACAGTGAGGATCAGCCATAATAGGTTACATGGCCTGTGCATGGAAGTCTATTAGCAGAAACAGAGATCAGAACCCTGTTAGTAAAGACACACATTTTACTGGATCCATGGTATAAGGGACAAGTAGTTTTGTCTAAGATGGATGGTTTTCCTTTTTTTTTTCTCTCTAGTACCACCTACTGTTGGGGCCTGGCTAGCAGAGGAGCTGTAACCTGAGCAACGGTTAAAGGAATGCTTAAGCAATTAAAAACAAGACACACTAAATAGGTCTTGCCGACCTTCTTTCTATCTTCATGCATTCCTGTGTCTTCAATCCAGCACCTTATAATGGTCTTGTTCTCTCCTGCTGCCAGGGTTTTTAGGTTTGGTTTTAGTTTTACTGCCTTATAGATAAGTCATCTTGCTAACAAGCTGAGAATAGTGCTGTTGTTTAGATTCTCATAGACGCTGTGTAGCTCTTGTTATCAGTTTCCCAGGATGTGAGAGCGGGATGCAGCTTAAACTTGTAACTTATCATAAGTAAGAATTGTATGCATTGACAGTTTGAGCAACCAATCCAAAGTTGTGCGTAGCTGCATGTATGAGAGACATTTTACTATAAATACTGTTAGTTGCCCTAAATAAAGTTGGCTATCAGAGCATCATATTGGTGTGCTGTAGTCCGTCCCTCGCAAGGACCCCAACAACCTACAATTAAAGTAGCAAATAAAGTATATAAAAGTTGAAATATTTATTGAGAAAACAGCTTTGTTCCAGACACTTCATCCTTTGTCCTTCCAGAAACTTTCTTTGAAAGACAAGTACTTTCCTATGCACAAGTATCTAAAAGATTTCAAATTCAAATATGTAGAGCACGTGCATGAATACACATATGCCACACTGATATATCTTCAATGAATAAATCATATTTTTCTGATCTTACTTGCTCAGAAACAAAACACAGATCCCTAAGCAGATGTGAAATGTAATTTGTTTGGATTTATTGCCTTACCTAGCGCATTTTTTTGCATGTTCTGTCTTTAAAAGCAAGTCTCACTAGAAATGCTTCTGGTTATCCACATCACAGAGAATTATCAACACTAAAAGCAGAAGGCAGTGCTGATTTTGTAGGTGGATAAAGCTTATTCCAAAATTTAAAATATTTTCCAAAAGATTCTTTCTTTGCTTATAGTATTTTTTCCAGGTACTCCAAAAAAACAAAACCCAAAACAAACTCTGTTAGGACTTTCTTATGTGCCATTTTCAGCAAACAATGGAAACTAAATCACATCATATAAAAGCACTTTTATGAGTTCTTACCAGAGTAATGGCAGCATCATCTTCAGGACCAGCATATCGAAATAAGATTCGATGTCTTTCCATGTCAGCAAAATATTCTTTTGCTTCTTTAGCAGTGCTGGTACCCAACCCTGTATAATAAAAACGAATAGTTAATAAATATTAAAAACTAAGTTTTCTTACTTTACCCCTTTTATTTTACTGGGACTGTTATAAAATCATTACATAAGATACTACCATGAAAACAGCTACAAATAAAACTTCATAGCACCAATTTATTATTATTTATCCATAGGGCTCACTTATTTGTTTTTAAACAAACCTTTGTAGTATTTTATCTTCCATGCTTTATGATTTTCCATGTGCTTTTTCCACTCATCAAATTCAGGAATACTGTAGAATGAAAGTTCTTGCTTATTTTTGCTTGCCTTTAAAAAATAAAACCAAAAAAACCGAAAATCAACTCTCCTGTTGCACTGTAAATAATCTGTAAAATCTCAATAATAGAACACATACCTTCACAATAGGGGTGATGAATTCCTCAAGAAAACCATGTTTCAACAGTGATGGCCAATTGTGATGAATAAAATTGATCAACAAGCCCTTTATGTGAGACCCATCCTGATCCTGAATCAGAACACGAAAACATGAGGCAATCTTTTAAAATGTCAGATTCCCAAAAGGACCACAAAACCCACTCACTGGCCTGGATACATCAGAACAATTTCTCTTGACAGAAAGCATAGAAGGGAACAGCTAGTTTTAATCTGGAGTCCAAACTGGACCTGGGTATGAAACAGCCACCTGTGAATGGCACTATCCCCTGAGCTAATAATAAGCTCTTCCTAGCCACACGCATGGTTGCAGTTCAAAGTTTCTTTGCCTGTGGCATGTTTTTGCTGGGAGCTAGACAGCTCTCCCAGACACCACAGACCTGATTTTTTGTGGAAGAGAGCCAAGCCTGGCCCACAGTTCTCATTGGTGGCAAGATGCTTGATAGCTCAATAATGAGATTATCCAAAAATAATCGCCTGCATTCTTGCCTCTACATGACTTGCTAGCAATATCACCTCACATACTGTTCCCTTTCGTCCTTACTTTCAAAATATTTTTGAGTTATCATAAGCATGGTTTTATTATTTCTTTGGCTTCTCTGCTACCGTGCAGCAAAGTTCACTTGCTCATTCAGAGTAACCAAGACAACACTTAGACAAATTAATCCCGTGAAGAAACTTCATCCATTAGGCATTCCCTCTGAATGAATCCATACTGCCATAGCAGAGACAGGTTAAAATGCACAGAAGTATAGCCAACAAAATTGCAGCAAAACACATTGTAAGGTCTGTGTATAAAAACCTATGAATTCCAGACTTACCTGATCTGTCATGATCATAATTTTCCCATATCTCAGACTTTTCAGAGATTCTGGATCTTCATAGCTTTTCTTGTATTGTAGTCCAACTATTTTGATGATGTTGTTGATTTCTGCATTTTCCATAATCTGTATAAAAAAGTGACCTTTGCAGTCAGTATAAAAAGCCCAATCCTTTTTAGGTGGGCTTTATAGCTACTTGTTCAATGCACCTCAACTTTATAACCTTTACATCCCCAGGCCCTTGCAGCTTTCACATTCGTAAATATTTCTTCTGTACATACAAATTCTCAAGACTGCACCACTGTCCTCTACAGCCAGAGCACTTTGGGTTGGGAAGGCAGAGAGAAAACTGCAGTGCAACAAAAAGTCACATTGCAAAACTGCCTTCTCTTGCTGCTGTTTCCATGGGCATCTGCAGCACAACTCTTACTACAGGCAAATTATAGTGGGCAGCAGAAGTCATGTTACAGGGTAATGCTGCTGCAAGTGCCTCACACTGTGAGTCAATGAAATCATATGGCAATGGAGAGAACACAACTTTTAAGGGGTTTTAAGTATTCATGTGAAATGTTAATATGAGTCACAGCAGAATGTAGTTTCACTTGAGAAGAAATGAACTTTATAATTCCAGTACTGCACTACTACACTTAATATAGAAAGGTTACCCCAGGCTTTAAAGTAGCTGGTGCTTTATGAAATCCTAGCCACAAGATTTTAATGAAAACAAAAAAATTATGAAGATGTAAATCTAGAAATCAAAAAATAAAAATAGAGACATCCATTTGTCAGCAATAAGGGGACAACAAGACTACTCACCTGTTTGTGAGAAGCTTCTCGAACATTGAGAATTTTGCCCCTGAGTGGGAATACTCCATATCTGTCTCTGCCAATAACACCTAAGCCAGAGACAGCTAAAGATTTGGCTGAGTCTCCTTCTGTTAATATTAGCGTGCAGTCCAAGGAATGTTTGCCACCTGCAGTCCAGAAGTGGAGGGAAGGCGAAAACCAGAAAGATTAACTTTTAATCTCAAATAATAGAAACACAAATGAATTCTTCCTTCTCTACAGCTGGTAATTTAAAGAGGCTGAATTTCTATTTGTAGGGATGGCCCTCCATACCACTAAGACTGCACAGCAAGAATGAGTATCCTTGCCCTTGGCAATACATTATGGATTGCTATGGACAAGGAGCAAAATAGACAAAAAGGGATGCAATGGTGGCACATCTTATGTAACGGTCTCCACACGTCTGCACAAAACCAGATTGCTTCTGTACCTTTATCATTTCATTTCTCTAGCTGCAAATTTCTTACATGCATACATTATGCATGTCTGAGTTATATACAGGAGTTATTTCCCATTCTGCACTTCCCCTTTCCTCACAGTATATTTTAAAAAGCAATTTATTAAATCCAATTTTTGTGGGTTTCCTTTTTCATTGTCCATCAGCTGAAGCCAGACAACTGTAAGAAAAACTTGACAGAAAAGCTCACAAGATGAGAACATTTGCACTTTGTATACCTCACAAATTTCTCCAACAGAAAAATACATCTTTACTAACAGTGTAATTTTGAATTTACAAGACACATTGCATTTCAGTGCCTGTGTGCTCAAAACTGGTATGACATTTATTTTCTGTTTATTGCAACTGCAGTACTGGAATAGGTGTTCTAAATAACAAGCCGGTTGCAAAAAAAAAGGTCCCCCACCCTTTTGCAAGGATGCAAATGCTCATTAAGTAGAGTTGCCAATTCATCAAGGCCAAGTGCTACGAAAGACTGCAAAAAACTTCAAGCTGGTTGAGTCTCACCTGTTGTTAATGGTACAGTTTTGAACACACTAATTTAAAACAGGTGCTGTGATTTGCCTTGATGTGCTAGGTAAAAACTACCCTATACTTTCCATTACATAGAATGTACATTCAGCATCTCTGGCTTTCTGAATCAATTCATATGGCTTAATACATACTAAATTAGGCAGCTATTCATACTGTCAGTAACTATCATACTATCAGCAAGGTGGACTCCGCATACCAAGAAAAATACTAGTCTGCTCTTTTAGAATTATGAAAGCCAACATTTTTCCTAAATGAACTGCAGAAAACACATGTAAATATCATCCAGGTGCACTTTCTTCTGGAATGGATGCAATCATCAGCAATTAATTTCAAGGAAATACAAAGTGCCAGATATTTTCCTGAGCCGAGCTCTAAAGGACTCAAAGGAAAAAACACATGAAATGGGAGGTTCAAAGAATGCTTTTATGCTTCACCAGATTTAGTAATCTAGCTGTTCCCTTACAATCCTATAATCCTATTCCTGGTTCTTTATTTTTGCTTTCACTTCTACCTTCTTTCTTCCAACAAGCCACAGAACTACGTATACCTCACAGAGACTGCAAGAAAGCAAGAATGACCAGGTACAGGACTCATTCTTTACAGTGGAGGAGGAAATATGCAGCAAGTGCATCACTGTACAGATACATCTCTCACCTATCCTTAACTGGTATTGATTAAAAAATTCAGTGGTACCAGGCACCCAAGAAATCTGTATGGATGCTGCAACTCAGCTACAAATTCACTCTTGAAATAAAAATAAAATCTAAACCTCAAAGGAATAACTAAAGTCAGAGGGGTCTGTGCCCAGAGACTATTTTCTCCTTGCTGCACTGGACTATTTCAAACAACTACTGGAACGTGCTACAAGAAACCCTGTTCCCTCATCTGACTTGGGGGGCTAACGACAGCATAATTCCTAGGATACTTGTCCTGAAACACAAATATATCGAAGACTACTGCATTTTACTGCCAGGTTACAGGTAACCTGTGTGTGACATGTATGATGAGTATCTTGAAGCAATCTCAGTCATTTCCCTGAAACTCTAACTTCATGCATCATTTAAAGCTTTTCTCCAGTGTACAGGGAGGTCTGAAATTCTTTTGAAAAGACGATTTATAACTGTGTAACTCTTCACAATATATTTAGTCATGTGCACATTCTTAGCAAACATTCATGTAGAAGAGTTTAATTTTGGGACCTAGAAGAAGTGATCTGTCTCATACAGAAAGAGGATGTACAGTCCAGTCCTTGGTTCACCCAACCCTGAGAAACCCCAGTCATAGACACATAGAATGGTTTGGGTTGCAAGGGACTTAAAGACCATCTAGTTCCAACCCCTCTGCCATGGGTGGGGACACCTTTCACTTGACCAGGTTGCTCAGAGTTTCAGTCAATCTGACCTTAAACACTCCCAGGGTTGGGGCATCCACAACTTCTCTAGGCAACCTGTTTCAGTGTTTCACCAGCCTCAAAGTACAGAAGTTCTGTATATCTACCTTTAACTTAAACTTCCCCACTTTCAGTCTGAACCCATTACTCCTTGCCCTATCACTACAATCCTTTCTATCAAGGTCCAAAAGACAGAAAGATAGGTAGTTCTAACAGTGTTTTGTCTGTATACTCATTAAAGAATTTCCATGGCACCAGGACTTCCTTTTTCCCTTTATGTTAAGAAACATCAAGCTTTCAGTCAGGTGCAGTAAAAAACTTAAGTTCATTGAGACAAGTTCTCAAGAGCAGACCAACCACCACAGCCAACACTCTCAACCACACTGAAGGAGTCACTCTTCTGCCTTCCCATTCTCAATGAAAGCAGGTTCTTATTGATGTCAGAGATCCTGATTATTTTTGATTGTGCAAAAAGAACAAAATGTTCCTTTTCAAGAGCAAACCGATGATCCATATGGCACCTTCAGTCTTTAAAAAGGGCTAAAGAACTTTTCACTAAATGTATTACTTGTCATACTCCAATTTAAAACATCTCTGCCAGGATATGTAACACTTCAAAAAGTCAGGCACAGTGTGATAAGGAGAATACACACTGCACTCAGAAACTGAATGAATGCCTCTCTGCCTTCCTGTGTGTCCATCCTAAATGTGCAATACCTTCAATGTGAGAAATATAGTAAGTTCCAGATCTTCAATAAATCAATACCTGGGTAAGCTTCTTTGGGAGATGCAGAGCTCCCACTCCCCATGGAACAATAACTGGGCATCAGAGAAATACCTGAGTAACAGGAATTCAAGCCCTGCAAAGCTTTAGGCATCAGTGTTGAGCCCAAATCAATCCCTACATGACTTCTTAGTTGAGGAAGTTTCAGGGTGAAAAGCAATGGAATATGTTATTAGCTCTCCTGTTAGAGGTTCTTCCTTACCCTTACCCAGTGAAAAAACTGAGTAAGAAGTGATTTTGAAGCCTGGTGTCCAAAGAAGAGCTAACAAAACCTATGATGAAAGTATATCCAAAATCATTCATGACATGAGTTAGGAGCACTAGGCTTGATACCCATAAAAACACATAATTTCTCCAAGCACACAATCTTCTAGGCAAGAAAAATAACAGCAACTCACATCTGACTAAGGAATGCAAATTCCACAAGCAAAACACTACTTAAAGGGAACATGATCATCAACTTCTGAATAACTGGAAAAGTAAATAAATACTGAAGAAAACTCAATAAAAAATTAATAACTTGTGCCCAAGGAATCAAAAAGAAAGGGAAGAAAACTAAACAGAACTCATTATCTCATCAATCCATCTTTGGCTTGAACATTGAAGCTCAAAAAAAAAAGAAAGCCTCTTTACCAGTCTTACATGCTTTTATTTTCTCAGCCCACCCACCTACTTTATGTGCAATTTCTCTACCTTTGCCTAATGTAAGAATGTATTAAAAATCAACTAACTAGCACAGACTGGCAACATTTCAAGCTCTTTAGTCATATGTGCCCCTCAAATAATTCATCAACTCCCATCCCATTGCTATTGGCACAAAGAACTGTCAGCTGATCCTGATTCCTATCTGTGCTAAAGAATCAAGCCAGCAGAGCTTGCCGGTTTGCCCTATATTCCCAGACAGGAAGCTAGTGGTATTTAAAGTCTTATGAAAAAAGTCTCTTGAACCATTCCCTCAGGTCTGCACACTATGTGATCTACTTCCTACAGCCTGTGACTCTATAAAGATTCTGATTTTTTTTATATTAGAAAGGTCAAGAAGTCTAGTCACCTCCAAAATGGAATATTGGTAAAACTATTTAACAAGAATCCACAATTAAAGATAGGCACTCTTGCAGTATCAAACTAGACTGCTGCTTTTGTTCAATGTTACTAATTCTCTGCCCTAGAGAAGACAGTGTTCATGATACCAAACCCACCATTCATGCTTTAAATTCTAGCTCTAGAAAGCCTGGAAAACTAGACATAATTTTATTAAAAATACATTTTAGGATGAGGAATAATGTCAGGTTTAAAATGACCATGTCTGTGAAAAACTTATCAAACATTAAAGAAATGAAAACTAAGTTCTCTTACCAGCATCATTAGCGTCATCCAGTTTCGGAATGCCCTTGATTTTACTGTGTTTCACTGATGAACATTTTTTGTTCAGCTGAGTTTGTGCCTTAAATTTGACCCAATTCAAAATACTCTCTATGATACCACAGTTAGAGGCCTATAAATAACAAATCAGAATTGTGGATGAGAAAAATAAAGCTTCACACAGCAGGTTCTTACATGTCCATTTAAAGTCACTGATCTAACACTGTTTCTCAAAGCCCTCTAAATTTCAAAAACTGCAACATTAATAACAATAATAATAAATTAGG